CCACTGTGCTCATTTCTGTCTTTCCAAGTAAATTAAGGTTTTATAGCAGGATGCCAGCTGCTTCCATTACCCAGCAACCGAGGAATGCAGTGAAGCATATGTGTCTGTGGTAAACGCCCTGTGTCGTCTGGGTTGGTAAGCAAACCAACAACAAAATGCTAACATTAACTGCAGCACATGAGCACCCAAAGATGATCTCTGCTATGCTATGTAATACTTATGGCGTGATTTTAAACTCCAGCAGAGAAATCGCCCGTATTTGTGTGAAGCTATAGCCTATCCTATTCTATTTTAGCCTATGCTGTCCTATCCCATCCTATCCTATCCTATCCTATCCTATCCCATCCTATCCTATCCTATCCTATCCTATCCTATCCATGAGCACCCAAAGATGATCTCTGCTATGCTATGTAATACTTATGGCGTGATTTTAAACTTCCTGTCCTGTCTTATCTTAGCTTATCCTATCCAATCCTATTCTATCCTATCTTATCCCATCCCATCCCATCCCATCCCATCCTATCCTAGTATGGCCAGTGTTGGCAGATTTGATTGATAGTCAGAGCCTTGACCCAATCATCATTAATTGGTGCAATTTGAGAAGATTATCTCTTTTTCCAATATGTGTAGGTTTGTTGCACCTCTGACTGCATCTAGACAACATAATTATGAGTGATGGCCATTATTGTGTTTGTCTTGTGGTGCTGGGAAGCACTTTGTCCTTTTCCATGTTTCACTGTATGGCTGAATAAAAGTATAGGAAGGAAAATAAAGCTTCCAGTCTTCTGTTTTACTAGGTGGCTAAAAATTTGGCCAACCCCAAAGCCACAGTTATCATACTGAAAAATGATCTCAATTAAGTCTCTATGAACAGATGGAAGCGTTTATCACAGAGCTGTGAACTTGAAACTGAATATAATTCAAATTAAAAACTTTCATGCCTATGAAATGACATTCCTTTTTGGTTATTAGTCCTCTGTCATTGCATGGCAAGCCTAACCAACTCAGTGTCGCAGATGAAACACAGCAACAGCTCCATCTCTAAAGTAACTGAAAGAGATAAAGGAGTGATTCATTATGTCGCTCAACATTTTGTTGAGGGAAACAACTCAAATTGTACAGCATCCAAAAATGATCACAGACCAACAAAAAACATTTTTACCTGCCCAGGGGGAACCCAATCGGGGAATGGTAATCCCACCCTATCAGCTCTTTTGATAAACCTTCATTTCTTCATTCAGAAATCAACTGAATAACTTGGCGGTGATGATTCAACTGGTCCTTTGGAATGGGATGAAATATTAGAAACAACTAACAGTGAGATTGTACTTACTGCAGGGCAGTTGTCAACAAGTCCTCCAACCTGAACAGCCGTATAGGTCCTCTGTTACAACCTTCTGATACGACCCATAGGAGTGTTTCCTGAATTAATGCCCCCATGGCGACAGGTCTACCGGACCTAGGTTGTCATGGTGACAATAATAAACACGCAGAGTGTACCGTCAGCGGTGTACCAGACCTTCGTCTCCAAGGTTAGGTTTAGGCACAAAAACTACTAGGATAGGTTTAGGAAAAAGTTGATGGTTTGGGTTACGTATATACTACGTCACCAGACTTCTTCCTTCACTCCTCTCATAATTACTACGACCAGTAGATGTCACCTAACAACAAAATGTAACTACGGGTCATAATAACCTGCTGCACAGACGACCTGTCTGCTAGTTTTTCACAGGAGGGCAGTCTCGCTATTGTACTTGACTGCGTGATGTGCTGCTGCAAATTTTCAATAGCAAACTTTTTTCTTTTTTTTTTTTAAATCTAATTTTCTTCAGCTGCTGACTTGAGTTGTCGCAGATAAGAGGTCATGCAGTAGTTCTCTCCGATAACCAGATTGACAGGATTGTGGGAGTCGTGTGAAAATTCACAGCTAAAGTGTGAGGATGCAGTTACATTTTTAAAGCCTTCTCCAACTTTGAATGATCAGACTCACAGCCCAGTAAAGCAGGTGTGATTATGTAGGGGGCGATTTTGTTTGATGGTGTTTGGGTTGGCAGGAGTGAAGCGTCTCATCTCAGACTGGCTGACCTGCACTTGACACTTGAGGAAGAAATGAGAATATTAAATGTGTGTCCTCTTTGATTTGTGGGATGGGCGTGTATGCGAGTGCTCAACTTAAGCATCCAGATGTGTAAACTACTATATCTTATTCTCTTGTATTTGTAATAAAGTTAAAACGCCTTGAAATGTCCCAAAAAGGTTTGTGGGAAAAGAAGTAAGGTGGTACAGAAGGTGGTATTTCCTTTACTACAGCTGTCAGTCTCTCGCTCTCTTGCTCTCTCTCTCTCTCACACACACACACACACACACACACACACATACACACACTCACACACAGACACACACACACACCAGCCAGTGCCAATGAAAGATTCATGGAGCAGTGATGATGAAGGCGTCTCCTCTTCTGCTCCACTTACCATGGTGGACAAATTCTGCCCCCCAACCTACACACACACACACACACACACACACTCGCACACAGTGAGAGAGACCCAGACACACACCAACCAAGGACCTGTTAAGGAAGGAAGAGAGCAGTGATGCACACAGCTGTGGGGTACTTACTCACCCTTAACCTTTCCAGACGTGGGCACACACACACACACACACACACACACACACACACACACACACACACACACACACACACACACACACACACACATACACACACATACATACACACACACACACACACATACACACATATGAACACACATTAATCCTGAGGCATCTGGTCCGTCAAGAGACCAATGCTGCAGACTGCTTTCTAGGCTGTCTGGCAAACTCAGAGTGTGTGTGAACAAGTATGTGTGTGAAAAACATCTTTATTTTTAATTTCCCTCACAGACCTGCGTATCCCCTCAAGGATAGAAAAAAGGTTGAGGATGAGCCATTTTCTAGCCTGTACTCCATATTTTTATATTTCTATGGTAAAGATTTTTTTTTTTCTAACACCATGGCACATGTTCAGGTTGGGTGTGTCATGCGCAGGGTTCAGTTATTGGCTAGAGGGTTGGAGGAGTAAAAGCCATTCTGTTACTCTCAGCATTCATCACTGCAGAGTTTTTGTATTACACTTCAGGCCAAGCAGTTTGTCCTGTAAGAGGATATATAGCCACACATGCAAAGGCTAAAAAAAGTTGCTTTATCTTTTATTCATTTACTGTTTTTTATCTATTTTTTTGGCATTTTTGTGTTTATTTTCACAGTCAGACACAGTACATATTTACTTGTACTTCACTTGACTATATAGATTTTATGTTACTTGATCATTCTCCTCCACGACATTTCAGAGGAAAATGTTCTATTTTTCACTCCACTCATTTATTATTTTAGTTATTAGAAACATATCAGATTAAGATTTTACATATAAAACATAAGATTAGTTTATAAAATACAATGCATTGTTATAGAAATGCAAGAAAGGTCCCAGGTCATGTCTGAAAAAGTGACGTCAGATATTAAACTCTAACAGGCTTTAATTGTAAAAATTAATGCACTGAATTTCAATCTTGTCATCAGTGCTATTTTATCTACCTACATTTTGTCCCAAAATAAATGTGCACAGATATGTCGGTATAAACAAAAAAAAAACAAAAAATCAAATGTAAAACCCAAAAAAAATCAAAATCATAATAAATAAATAAATATTTATACATATATGTGTATATATATATATATATATATATATATATACTATACTACTATATATGTACATACAGAGTGCTTCTGTGGTTGATAACTATATATAAAATGATTCCAGGAGGGCAATAAATACTTAATGCAGTGGTTTGAGAGGCACTTCATTCTTTACTTATGCAAAAGAAGCTGCACCGCAATGGAAAAACCCTCCAGTCCTGCATTCAAAATTCTACATTAAGTAATAAGTAACAAATATAAACAGTACAATTCATATAAAAGTGAAGAAGAGCGGTTCCTCTCAGAGTGTTACATTATTGATGTGTTAACATGTCAGCAGCGTGTAAGCCGCATGTTGTGAATGGTCCAAGTGGTTCTCTGTCTGACTTCTTCATTATTAAACTCAGTGA